CCTGCGCCCGCGTCCCGAGCCCATCCAGTGGGCAGGCTCTTGGTTCTACTATTTTTTTTGCTAACACCACATCTGCAAATATTAATAAAAATATATAAAAATAAAAAAGTGTACAGCTGTTTTCAACCCATGGGTATTAGTGACGTTCACAAGCAGAGCAAGTTTCTGGAGCAACGTTACCAACAGCGTCACACGTACAGTACTGAAAGGTGTTCATACAGCTATTAATGAGTTACTACAAAAACCCTGGTAAATAACCTCAGACTAAGGAAAAGTAACATTATTTCAGGTTTATAAAAACGTAAATATAATGGTATTACGTGTGTGTCTACTAATTATTTATATATAATAGATATACGATTCCTCTATATACATATATATAACCCTAGAATATACAGGCATTGCGTATTTACATACCTATACAGATTGTAAGAAAGGCAAAGCCTCTCCTCCTGCGTAACCCCTCAGAGCCCCCTCCCCAGCTAGAGAATTTTACGAGTACACTTTTACAGGAGTTTATGTGCTGCTGCCTTTTTCCTCGTGTCTCAGCAACATCTCTGACATTTCCAGCAGGGATCCTCCGCGCTCGACGCCCCGCCGGCGGCGTGCATGGGCAGGCGCGCCTCCGCTCGTAGGCTCCGGGGACTACCGTTGTACGCAACCAGCATCACTGGCCCGAGCACGAACATGAAATGTTCACAATCTATCCCAAAAGACTCCTCCAAATTAAGACAAACACCCCAAACAAAAAAGCATCTCGGTACCAGTTGCCTTTGAGGTTCTAAAACAACGGAGCTGCCGCCAGGAACACAAACCACACCTATTCCTTGGAAATAAATCCTGCACTCATGAGAAGTCACCCGTGATCGATGTTTCTTCTTCTCACCTTCCACCTACAACTCACAGCTCAGGGCGTGCAAAGCAATTCATTCTCCTCGTCCCTGCTCTACCATCACTCAGATAAACGTCCGTAATCCCTTGTGCTCCTCTCCTGAAAAAACAACCCAACAGCTTGCCACACAGAGGCGTGAGGTTCAAAAACTGAAAATTCTTTTCCAACTTCTAATGGATGCGCACGTGGGTGTGCACACACACACGTACCCCTGGGGGAAACGACGTGTAGCTTTTTTAGTCCAATAACAACTTTTTTGATCCTGCCTTTTAATAAATCACCTTTCCTGCTACTCGAATAGTGACTTAAACTGTGTTTCAAGACAAATGCAACCTTCTGACTTGCTTAGTGCTCTTTCGGAGCACTCTGGAGAGATAGTAAGAGAGTAGAAAAATCTATTCAGACAAGTTTTCTTTTTAGAAACTGTATGCTAAATTAAAATCACAATAGAAGCTTTAAAAAAAAAAAAAAATTCATCTAAATTAGGGGAATGTCCACTGATAGAGCTGCCCAGACTGAGTATTTCCAGTAAAAAAACCTGCCAAAGTAACAAACGCTTAACTGCTCATGTTTTATTCTATCTTAGAACTAAATCGGAAGTAACCACGCTGTCAGTAATTAAAAGTAATTGTAACAAAATGATTGGTGACTAAACATCCACTTTGAAACAGCAAGGCTGAAATTATTTCTTGAACTATTTTCAGGTGAAAATAATAGCAAAGCATTTGGCTTGAAGAACTGCTAAAGATCAGACAGTGAAGAGGCAATTAATAACAAAACGTGGACTGGCTAATTAAGCACAAAGCACCAGTAACTTCCTACCAGAGGAGATGTTTAGCCAACATTATTGTTATTATTATTATTATGTGTTACTCCTGTGATTTTTTTATACATATATACACACACATACAGTGTATAAGCGGAGAAGAGAGCGTGTGCAGAAGTCACGTCCGGTGGCTAGCAGGTCCCTCTCCCTAAAACCGCTGCTCTGTAAACCACCACGGACGCTGTGCGGAGCGCGGAGCACGGGTGCTGCGGAGGCATATACAGCTGGAGAGTACAGCCCACATTCAGTGTGGGGAACCAGATTCAACGAATCTTTAAGAGCAAGCTCAAGCAGCAGAAAAAAGAAGATACAGAGAACCCATCCCAGCAAGGCAGCTCTGCCGTTTTTCATTTTTCACCTAGTAGTATCTT